AGGGTGGCTGTCTTGCTGGGATAAGTCAGACACAAGGTTAATCAACAGGTTTCTGGTGAGGGGACACCAGGTCACAGGTCGGGCACTTAGCCATCAGGCCGTCCACCGGGAGGAGTGTCCAGGGAAAGGGCACACCGTACCCAGTCCCTACAACCTGTGCTGGAGCCCATCGGGCAAGGATAGAATTTATAGTTGTTCTCCAGAGAGAGCCCTCCAGGTCAAATAAGAGGAAAAATAGAATGAGGCAGAGAAAAACAGAGGGGGGGGGATGAGACCAGGGGTCAGAGAAGGTCAGAGATCAGGGACCAGCAGATGGAGTAATGGTTATGTCGCTGGACTCTCATGTGGCTGACCGTGGTTGGAGTCCCGGACCCAGTGGCTTAAACTCACGCCGGGCGCGTGTGCGTGCGTGCCCGAGATCCCGAGAGGAGAATGGAGGAGAAGGGATTGCGGCGTGGCCATCCCCCTGGGGGGTGATTTCTCGCTTTCTGTCTCTCTGTCTCTCTCTCTGTGTTTCCAGCGAGTGCCTATAGCAAAAACCTCTCCACACACACACACACACACACACACATGTTAAAAGTCTATGGAGTAAATCAAGGAATGTCAGCAATTAGTGGTGATTTTATTTTATTTTATTTTGCTATTGCGTGTTTGTGCTTGCCAAAGAGAGAGAGAGGAAAAGTGAGGAATCACCCCTGGGGGGAATGGCCATGTCACAATCCCTTCCCCTCCATTCTCCTCTCGGGATCTCGGGCACGCACGCACACGCGCCTGGCATCATTTTGTCAAGCCACCAGGTAGGCCGCGGAGGAGCCGGTAGCCTTAACCTCCACGCCACCTGCTAAGCCAGCAATAACTATTAGCTACTGTTGTTTCAGGTTCTCCCAAGAGAGGAGGTAAAACGTGAGGGAGGAGAGAAACAGTAGTGGAAGGGGCCAGCAGGTGGCGTGGTGGTTAAGGTGCCGGACACTCACGCATGGCCAACCATGGTTTGAGTCCTGGACCTGGTGACTTGCTTTCTCACTTTCCTCTCTTTCTCTCTCTGGTCAAATGAAAATAAATGAATGAATGAATTGAATAAAATAATTTTTAAGAAAAGAAATACTAATGGAATACAAGAGGTCTTCAAAAAGTTTATAGGAAATGGGATTAAAGTACGAGGTTATTTGGATACAAAAAGAAAGTTAAAATCCATGCAGGTTTTTTAAAATTGTTTTTAAGGCTTACTTATTTATTTGTTATAGAGAGAGAAAAAGAGAGAGAGAGAAAGAGAGAGAATGAGAAATCTCCCCCAGGGGAATGGCCATGCCACAGTTCCTTCTTCTCCATTCTTCTCTTGGCATTTTGGACTCACACACACACGCACCTGGCATGTTTTTCAAGCCACTGGGTTGGGATTTTAGTAGGGGGTTATGTGGGATTCAGCCACCTTAATCATCATGCCACCAACTGGCCCGTTTTTTTTTTAAATTTATTTTTTATTTTTTGAGAGGTTTTTGCTATGGGGCGCGTGCGCTCGCCAGACAGACAGAGAGAGATATAGAGACAGAAAGCGAGAAATCACCCTCCAGGGGAGATGGTCACACAGCAATCCCTTCTCCTCTAGTCTCCTCTCGGGATCTTGGGCATGCACGCACATGTGCCTGGCATGAGTTTTAAGCCACTGGGTCTGGGACTCGAACTGCGGTCGACTACGTGGGAGTCCAGTGACATAGCCATTATGCTAACTGCTGGTTTCCCTGGTCCGTTTTTTCAGAATAGCATTTTCTATGATGTTTTCGAAGCCCCCCTTCACATATAGGGTACCCAGAAACAGAGGCTTGTTCCTTCTCATTCTCTCATCCGAAGACGTAGACACACACACGCACACGCACGGCACAGAGGTGCCACGTTACCTGTGTGATTCAGCTGCACTTCAGCTATGTCCCACTGGAAGACAAGACCAGAGAACAGAACTAAGACACAAGAATGGAGGGTGGAAGTGGCCCCTAAGTCAGGGGACCTCCTCACTCATCCTTCCTCCCACCCCTCTCCCAGTCCACTGGGCATCCTGTGATTAAAACAAAACAAAACAAAAACAAAAACAAAACAACTCCCCATTAATGTATTGTTACTATTATTATTTTAAAGAATGATTTTATTTAACTTTATTTATTTATTTATTTCAATTTGACCAGAGAGGGACAGAGTGGAGAGAGAGAGAAAGTGAGAAAGCAAGCCGCCAGATCTGGGGTTCGAACCACTGGGAATCCAGCACCTTTAACCACCACGACGCCTGCTGGCCCCCCATTAATGTATTATTGACGCTTCTATCTCCCTCGCCCCTCATTTCTCAGAGACAAGACAGAAACCAAACCCACATATCCAGGTGCACGCATTCCCAAAACTCCCCAGATGTCATTCCAGATAAAATAGAGAAAATCAGACGTAATAGTCTTGGAAAGGGTCTGGAGCTGTTTCCGGATTCTCTACATTAACCAGCTTTTTTGTTTCATTAAAAAAAGTCTATCTAGGACCAGCAGTTAGCGTAATGGCTATGTCGCTGGACTCCCACGTAGTCGACCGCGGTTCGAGTCCTGGACCCGGTGGCTTAAAACTCACGCCGGGCGCGTGTGCGTGCGTGCCCAAGATCCCGAGAGGAGAATGGGGGAGAAGGGATTGTGGTGTGGCCATCCCCCCTGGGGGTGATTTCTCACTTTCTGTCTCTCTGTCTCTGTCTGGCGAGCGCACGCACCCTATAGCAAAAACCTCTCCAAAAGAAAAATAAAAGTCTATCTATCTATCTAAATGTAAATATATCGGATATCTAGGCGAGGGTGAAGAGTAGGCGGAAGGCAGAAACACAGACATTAAACGGATACACGGATGCGCGTTCTCGGCTGAGGCTGTTTGGCCACATCTCTGAGACGGAATGCCTGCGCTCTGAAAATCCGCATGGCACAGGGTCGCTGCACGGCGAGTAAACAAATCATGATTTAAGCAAAGGCCTCTGAAAGAGGAAGCAGCTGGCGCCGCGGATGGCACGACGAGCCTGGGAGTCTCGGCTTGCTCAGTTTTCCTTTTTTTTGCCAAATCGCACCCCCGCGCCCCGCGCGCCAGCCGGTCTACACCGCGCCCCGCGCATTCCGCGCACAAGGCCCCCCGGGGGGGAGCCTGGGGCTCTCAGCAGAGCAGACGCTCCGGCCGTTGGGTCCTCGGAGGCCCCCGGAAGTCCCCAGCTTCGTGAAGCCCCCAGCGCCCTCTGAGTCAGCCTGTCCGGGGAACACCAAACCCGAGTCATCTTCCATTAACCGCGACGGATATACCTTTCTCATCCCGGGATCTCCCTCCGCGTCCTGGGCTGGACACACCAACTCCGAGCCCCGAGCCCTGAACCCCCAGCCCGGACAGCCTGGGCCCTGCGTAGCTCGCCTGCCAGGCCTCCCTCTCTCGCCAGCTCATCGTCCCGGGCCTCTCCCATCCCCGTTTGTTTTCGTCTCTTCTCGCG